CTACCTAGTGGAAACAGTACTTCCTGCTCCTGACTTATATACTGGTGATCATTTTCTCTCAAGTTGTCTGTGTACGCAGTCTGACGCAGATTCGTTAAACCAGAAAGGTTATAAGGTTACATTAAGTTCTTGCATATTTAAGTCCAGCGTTTCAAGGATGGCTTTTTGTGCGTTTACTCATTGCTTGTGCTTGTTTCATCTTTTGGCCAGCGTTATTTCTGCAAATGGAAGTAAGTTTATTTCATATAATGGAAATCARGTTAACATTATGGTATTAGAACGAATTTTTAAAAGGACATCATCGATTAATAACCTCATACTTCTGAAAATAAGCAATTAGTCTTTAATCAGTTTCCTCTTTTCACTCGAATGGTTTCGTCGTTTTCATTACCAAACATCAGATATAAACGGTGTCCAAACGATGCACAGGTAGACTTTCACTACTCAATGGTTTATTCTTTTAATTCCATTTAAACCCAATCCACATAGAAGCTAAACTTATTGCGTTAATTGATTTTAATTAATTGAGTTTCTGAACTTAAATAAACTAGACGCATACCTGCGTGAACTCGGGCTTCATGAAAGAAAACTTTGCTAGTGTGTGTTTCGAAGACTGAGAGTAGGCGCATAAGTGCGTGAATAACCGCCGTTTGCATTACTACGCGGCCCCCCCAGACAAAAATCTTGTCATGTAGTTTGCAATAGATAGATAATACTCCGTCTATAGTACCATTATGTAGACCTAAAGCTGCCTCTACTCCACAATCATCAACTGTTGTTGGTAACTCTTGTGGTGTTATGTAATTATTCAAATTATGAAATAATTGATTAGCATAATAATGCACATCTTGATCAACTTAATATACTCTGTGGTATTCTGCTAGGTTCACGATCACGTGTAAACATTCTACTACTAGAACTTGACTTAAAACATGTCTATAATTATAATAAACATACTGGTGTTTAAAGGCGAGATCTGGTGTTTTTTGTAATGTTTATTGTCACTTCTACATCATTACATACATATACAGTCAAATTATTAGTTTTCTGTAAGATATCACAGTCACTAAACGATGAAATACTAATAACATTGTGAACATAAATGTCAATGCATGAAATACTGAAGTTAATAATTGCATAAGCTAGTAAAGTAATAGCAGTWATTATCATCAAGATAGCAAAACAATGAATTTTCAGCGTAAGAAAACATTGTAATAAGAACCAATAAGATAATCCATATATTTTCGAAACGATTAAAAAACATTAGAAAACAGCACATTGTGAGTCACATACCGGTGTGTTTACGCCTTCGCTTACGTATATAGAAGTTCTTAAATTTCTTTCCAGTTGTTTATCAGCAAACCCGTGTGGAAATTCAGAAGTCCTTTGTAAGGTCAAAGTTTGGATAAGATTTATAARTTGTTTCGCTATTTGTATAGATAGATAGATTTTTCTCGATAAATGGTTCACGATAATTGGTTCTCGAAAAATTGTTCACGACAATTGGTCACTCGTACAAAATGTTCGCTCGTATTACTCATCGGTTTTGCAAACGCACGTGCACACAGTGCCATACGTCAGACCGAGACCCTAAGCACATGCTCAGTTGATATAAGCGAAGTACGCATGCGTGTTTGATGTCCCAGGCGTCCCTAACTGGCTTTAAGTGCGCATGTCTGCTTTTTGTAGACCAACATGGAAAATACGACGAATATTAACGGGCTTTTTATAACTCGGGCCTTCCTTCGGAAAGAAGCCCGAGCAATAAAATAATAATTTAAGCCTTCAAAACATTACAAGTATACATATTATTACGAATCATACGGTTAAAAGTGTATCGTAAATTATTTTATTTTCAATCCAATTCCTTGAACTTGCCATGGAAAATATTTCAATTTTAGGAAAACATTTTATTGAGGAAAACATGAATAGTTATGTAAAGTATTTTACATTTTTCACCTTGGTTTACATGCAGACGATAAATATGCAAATTGCCGTAACTAGCCCATAAGTCTGGATATTTGATTTCTTCGGATTGGAGTGGCCCAAAAATCGTATCATTTCAGACGATTGTAATAGAAGCATTGTTCTTTCACTGACAGCATTTCTGTCTGAAGGTGTCTAAATTTTGCGATTTTTTAATATGCCAAAAACGTCAAACAGATTGTGGCTACCATTGTCGTCACAAAACAAGGTATTTGATGTGGAACCATACTAATTCAGATCGAATTTTGGACAATTAATTTCACTCGCTTCCCAAAACTAGTGCGTCAATTTTGAACTGGATTTTTCATATAATGTGCTTGGATTATCCGCTAGATTCTAAAAGTGTATTTTATTCTAAGATGTTTTAAATGTTTAGCCTATTACGGCCGAAAATCCAAAAGTGCTATTTTAAGTTTTTGGCTTTTTTACTCCTAATCCTCAGATACGATTTTTTTTTTGAAATTTTCAGAATGTTATCATCTAGTACTATTGCAGCCTGTGTATAAATTTGGGTAGAAAGTCTAGGGCAGAAAAAAAGTTATGACGCCGCTTGAAAATTCGATCCAAAATTGGAAGCATAAAAAGTGATTTTCTTAACTCGCTCGTATGGCGTCAAAAACACTCGGATATTTTTGAATTTAGCACATGAGCTCAAATATCAGATTTAGACTTTTAACGGTGTATTCGAAATGTTAGCTTTGAGTCGTGCTTGCCAACTATCGAGCGTAAGTAGTTGTGATGCAACTTAGGCCGAAAAAAAAAAAGCATTAACTCGTAAACATGGTCGATAGATTTTCTCCAAACTCAACCGACAGAAAAATTATGACCATCTGTTTACTATCTGAAATTTCATGAAAATCCATCGATTTTTAAGCGAGCTGGAAGTGACAACATTGTGAAAAACTACTTTTAGAAAATGGGCCCCTAAAGGCAAACGCGAGTCAAAAATAAAATGTCAAATACACCGATAAAAGCAAATATGTTTGAGTTATTACCGAAAGGCACAGTGGGCATGCATCTAGATATGAATAATCGAAGCATTCACACTAAGGAACTCTGAAGACAAATAAACAGTTAACAAGAAAAGAAAAAACCTCTTAATAATGTGTACTGCTCTCAATTTTTAAAAGAATTTCAACGGAAGGACAATTGGTGACCTGGAAGGTAAGAAAACCTGCTTTTATATTTAATATAACGGTAGCAGTGTTGTGATTACGTAATCGGTCAAACTAATTTATTGGAAGAAATAAGTTTTTTGAAAGTCAACCATTTATTACCAGATTTATCGGATCACTGCCAAATCTCCTACACCTTAAGAACCCGTACTTTTACATAAGAAAACACGAGGAAAACTATTCCTTTTAATGAGCATAGAAAACTTGTTTCGGACGAAAAAGCAATATTCCGTCTCAAAGAATTGTTAGCATCGGACGAAACGCAGGCATTATTAAACGAGTTGCAATTGCTAACTATAACAACAATGCACACAAACCAAAAGTGGAACTGATAAAAATGAAAAATGGTTCGATCAAACCTGTAAGATTGGAATAAAAAGTAATTTGAGATCATAAAAGAGAAATAAATAGAGATCCAGAAAATATTGAACTTTGCGAACAGCTTTTTTCGGAAGAAAAAATCATTTACTTTGTAAACTCAAAAAGGATGAATATCTTGACAAAAATCTTGGGAAAATCGACTTTAGCATCTCAAAGAAAAATAAAACAGACTTATTCGAGCATTTCAGGGACCTGAATAATGCACACGAAACAAATGATGAACAAAACTCGATATAAATATAAATATATATACATGATATAAATGAAACTGGCCCCCTAGATTATCCCATTTCAGAAAAGGAAATCGATGATGCGATTAAGTCACTCAAAAGGCAAAATTGGCACCAGGAAATGACAACATACTGAATGAAATCCTTATAACTGGAAAAGATGTCTTGAAGCAGTACTTTAAACTTCAACTTCAATAAAATTCTTACAACTGGAAGATAACCTGCTTTGTGGAACTTAGGTCTCATCGTCCCCATTTACAAAAAGGATGACTCTTCAAAAGAAAAAAAACTATAGAGGAATTACCTTATTATAATCCCTAAGAAAAATTTAACAAAACAATACATAAAGAAGGTCGCGTTAAAAGCTCTCTTCAAATTAAAGAAAGAGATGGAAAATCAATTTAGGAGAGACCCTAAACTAACTATAAAATTGTTTGAATTTTCGCATCTAATTAGACATTTGTATATATAAATAAACGTATACTACAGCTTTTTTTTTGCAATCTTGTGTGTGTATATATATATATACACTCGATTGCAGGAAGGTTGCAGCATATCCTTTATACATGTTAGTACAAATAGCTATTTAGACCCAAAAACATGAAAAAAATAAATAACTCTTTACCCGTTCCTTCATATTTAAAAAGATAATATTTTTTGAGAAGTTGTATCAATGAGGAATATAAAAAATTATGATTTGAGCGCAATGAGATTTTATTGAATATATATTAGAGAATTTTTAGGCCAAAAGAGTGAAAATATAAAAATCAATATACTTAATTAATATCCGATACTAAAAATGTTTAGGTATTTGACGTTTCTTGCATCAAAGTAAGGCATAACGTGTTTTTGTTAACTTTCAAGATAATAAACACATTTTATATATTTATACATTTTATATATTATACACATAATATATACATATTTTAGGAGTTTTTTTCATTTTTGCATCTCATTAGATATTTAGCAATTATTCGCCTCAGGCTCAGTGAATATCGGGGAATATTTACCGAGACGCAAGTGAGCGCACAGGTTCTTGGGAAGTACACAAGTTGGTATATGCTAATTGGATAGATGGATAAATGTATACTACAACCTTTCTGCAATTATATTTAGGCACTGCCTAAAAGCGGAGCTCCCGATACGGAAGTCACAGGGAGAACAATTTGAATGAAACTGAAAGGTAAAAATAAGATCGAGGAAAAAATCTTCAATTATTTTTTATTCGARATGAWGATAATTTCTCCCATAATAAAAACCATGCAGTGAAATCGAAATCAGTGAAAAATGTTTTGTTGTTGTTTTTATTTACGTCTTTTACAGAACGAGACGAAGTTTACATTCAGTTAAACTTGACAAGAACAACTGAGACAAAATAGAAAATAATGCAAAATACAAAATGACGAATTTCTTGTCAGTAAATTGGCGTTTGTAAATGCTTTTGAATATTTTTTAGCG